GATTAAGGCTTTCCAACTTGTTTTAGGTGATTTCATGCAAATTCTGCAGGAGGTTTTCGAATACTCCTCGATGAGTATTCGAATACTCCATGTCTCCAGAAAGTATCTGAATACTTTCACTTAAGTATCCGAATACCACAAGGTATCCGAATACTTTTCACTCAGTATATGAATACCACCAGGTATTCGAATACAATTCCCACAGTATCCGAATACTACCCAGTATTCGAATACTTATTCTAAGGTATCCGAATACTTTTCTTCCCAGAAAAGTATTCCCATACTCCTTCCAGGAGTATTGAAGGAGTATTCGACTACCCCTTGATAAGTATTCGAATACTTTTCACGAAAAGTATTCGAATACTTATCAGACAGAATGCAGAAACTCGAGCTGTTCACTGCAAAAACCTATTTTTAATGGTCCAAAAGCAATTTGGAGTCCAATGACTCCGTAAACAGATGTTCATTAACATATTTTAGACTTAGATTATCAGTCCTTAACTCAAATGATCAAAGTTTCACTTTTTAATGGATTAAACAAGCTCAAATCATGAAAATACAAAGGTGGTGATCATGGTATACCTCTAGTGCCTCAAACTCATAAAAAGACACTGACTTGGAGCTTCCAATGCAGCTCCAAGGTGCTGACTTTAGAGAATCACGAATTTGGCACCACAAGTTAGCTCTTTTATACTTAAAAATGGCTCCTTGAAGCCATAAATGCCAAGACAATGGCTTTCACAAGGAGAACTCACAACTCAGCCCACAACTCAGCCCCTAACACCTCACAAAACAGAACCTAAACTCAGAACACAAAAGCTTTTCTCCCACCCAAGTCTCAACCACACTCAACTATGGTGTTTTGATGAAGAAACAATGGTGAAAGGTGGTCACTTTGGAGGTTTCTTTGGAGAAATGAAGGTGGCAAGGTGAGGGAAATCAACTCAGAAAATGGAGGCACGTAGAATCAGTTTTGAAGAATGAAAACTGACCTAGAAAGGTGTGCCCTTAAGTATATAAAGTTTACTTAAGTTTTAATCGTCGGTATTAGCGCTAGTAGCTCCGCTTATCTTTTTAATCTAAAATTCAGGATTCTGAACCTAGCCATTTTTCTAGGATTAATCATATTTTTATTTTATTTTTCGTAGTACTTTGCCGGTACGCGCTTTTATGTAGCCGATATCAATTTTGACACCAATTCTCGTTATTTTGACCTGAAACTTGACACACTAGTCCTAAATATTATTCTAGAAATATTTTCATACTTATTATAATTTTTCGGGATACTTCATCGGTACGCATTTATACCCCAAATTTCAACATTATTAATCACTTACTATCATTATTTAAGCATTCTCATAATTATTAGGGTCAATTATGGAATTATCTCATTAATCTCATAATTAATTAATTAAATTCCTAAATTAACAGTGCGGGTTCGTACAAATCTCAAATAAATCATTCTACCAAACACCTCCTTAGAAAACTCTTATCCTAAAGTAACGTTTACTTAAAACTCTATCTTACCCTTTAATTTTTTTCCCACGTTCTCCTTCATCCAATAACACCGACATTATTAATTATACCAATTAAATTTTGTTAAAGTGTTTCAAGATTATCTATGAGAGAATGAGATTTTCTCACAATTGACGGCTCCATACACACCTCATCGGACTGGTGTGTCAGAAAGGAGAAACCAAACTTTTCATGATATGGTACGATCTTTGATGAGGGTACGAAGCTCCCAAAATCATTTTAGGGATTCGCCCTCCATACGGTGTTACACTTTCTTAATAGGGTTTTGTCGAAATTTGTTCAGACTACTCCATATGAGATATGAAATGGCCGGAAGCCCAACTTCAGTTATCTCAAGGTGTGAAGCTGTCCAGCTTATGTCAAGACCCTAGTACAGGAAAAGTTAGGGGCTAGGAGCACTATGTGCTACTTTGTAGGTTATCCCAAGGAAACTACATGATACTACTTTTACTGCCCTAAGGACTACGAAGTGATTGTGTCCAAGAATGCTACATTTCTTTAGGAGGATATACTCCTTCAAGTAGATAGTGGGAGTAAGGTAGAACTTGAAGAAATTTAAGACCTACAAGAATAGATAACAAAGCTTGGGTCTGTTGATCATGTGATGCCTCAACTAGAGGCTGTGGGCATCCGGCCCCATAGAACTTCGAGAATTCAAGAAAACTTGGGTGTAAACCCTTTAGTACTCCTACTAAGAAGAATCACAAGATGAGTTATGAAGAGGAGATTCGTCTAGTCGATAAAGAATAATATCAACGACTAGTTGAGAGATTGATATACACTAGACCAGACCTAGCTTATGTTCTAAGTATTGTAAGTCAGTTCGTGCATAATCCAAAAGAAAAACACATGTAGGCAGTGAAAAGAATTCTTTAGTATCTTAAAGCCACTACTGGTAAACGACTTTTATTTCGGCGTGATGGCAAAATTTCTTTAGAAGTTTATACTGATGCCGATTATGCTGGATCTGTAACTGACCGTCGATCTACCACTGGTTAATGTATGTTTCTGTGTGATAACCTAGTGACATGGAGGAGTAAGAAACAATATGTAATTTCCAGATCAAATGTAGAGACAGAATTTCGAGCTATGACTCAAGACATTTGTGAATTATTATGGTTGAGATTATACTTTATGATCTCAAAATAAGATGTGAAGAAACTAAGAAGCTACATTGTGATAATAAGTCCTCATTTTGTATAGCTCATAATTCAGTTCAACATGATCGAACTAAGAATATTGAGGTCGACCGTCATTTCATAAAAAAGAAGCTTGATAGTGGGTTGATCACCACTCCATACATTTCTTCTGGACGTCAATTAGCTGATATTCTATGAAGAAACTTCTCTCATAAAAGTTTTAAGAGCTTACTAACAAGCTGAGAATGATAAATATTCATTCCTCAGCTTGAGGGGGAATGTTGTAAATAATTGTAATTATTATTTCTTCTAGAATCTTCTTTGCACTAAACCTATTAAGTCATTTAGTCTCTTTAAATAGAAAACTCTTATACAATTGTAATACACAATTTATATAATATAATCCTCCCTCTTTTCAAGTAGATCTCAATTAATCAAGGTGTTTAATACATGTTCAGCATAATCACAAGTCATATTTTATCCTTGCTAACACTCCGCCGTAACTTCTAGTTAATAGGATTTAAACATGAATATCATAATTACAGTACTCCTAGTTCTAATAAGTAATAACTAACATTGAGGTGTCACATTAGAACAAATATATAGACTTTCTAACTGCCTATTCTTGTGATAGTTATTAATTTAGCGATCGAAGAGTAATATAAATTACATAAAGCATTTATGCTTCAAAAAAGCTTCTTCTTCTCTTTTTTTTTTTTTTGTTTACAAAACCATATAATTTTACCCCATATGTTTTGCAAATATATTTGGAAGGCAAATACGTTTAAATGCTAGATACGCGCGTTCCTTTACTAAGCACTTTTTCACATAAAAAAGAAAAAAGTTAACCACTCTAATCTCGATCTCTTGATGAATTTCATCACGTGTATTTTATTGGGAAAAAAAAAATTAGATTCACGTGTTTAGGCTAAATTGATTATTTCTTCGAACTCAGGCAGGTAAAGAAACACAGGAAAATAAAGCACGTGTTTTATCCCATCAACCATATCCATTCGTTAACATTAAATATTTGAATAATTCACACGATTAGTCACCTTTTTCCCTTTTGTTGCTGTCGGTTGTGCAATTGCCCAGAAGATATCACCAATGATCAATTCAACCCTCTTAAAGTGAATCAAAGTGCCCCTGTCTACATCCGGTGCTCGGAATAACCGTTATTTTTTAGTTTGTAGTTGTGCACACAATAAGGAGTTAGTAGATAATCTCGATAATAGTAATAAAAAGTAAATTGATTTGATAAGATTACCCTTTATTAAAAATTATAAAATCATCTATATTTTCATTCACTTCATCAATTTTGTCTTTTTCTACTAACATTATTTGTTTGGTACACACTACTGACGTTATTTTTCTTATTTATAATAATTTTCCGTTACTTCGGAAAACTAAACCAATTTAATATGGAGAGAGATAAGATTTTACCAGTTGAGGTATTTTTGGAAAATAAAATTAATAAATACATGTAGTTATTAGTATACTCAATAAGGATAGCTGGGGCAAGGGTAAAACTGAAAAAAAATTAATACTCCATTGATATTAAAGTCACATATAAATTATTAGACACTTAAAATGCATTCGACATTTAAATTGACCGATAATAGAGAAAAGTACAACATAAATAGTTGATAGTTGTGTCACAAGTTTTTTTTTTTTTTTTTGACGAACAACGGATCAAAACATGTTTGTATAAAATGATACAAAATTTATTATAATACTGTAATATATTGTTTCATGCGCAATAGAGTTAGGACTATCAATGTGTTATGTATGAAGTTGTAAGAATGAATGTGTTCCGGGTTATTGGTCTTTTTCATGCCGTGGACAAGGTGTAACTTGAATTAGTGCACGCATAACATAAATTTAAATATTCGTATTGTCCCATGAGTTGTTTTTTTTATCCATTACTTATTCAGGATTAAAGGGAGTAATTTTACCCAAACAAAAAAAAAAGGGGGGAGTAATATTACACAATACATATGAGAACTCTTGAACAATTAAACTGTAAAAGTCCATAAATCATTGAGAGGATACATATTTCTTAACAAATAATCTTGATCTTTTATTACTTAAGATTTTCTCCATTGAGAGAGGCCAAGAAAAAGTTTCTTTCTTCAAATTATACTCTCAATTTATGAACAAAAAAGATAAAACCGGATGATAAATTCCAAGGTAAGAAAAAAAAATAGTTTCAAATAATGGTCTAAATTAATAAAAAAAATTCCATTTAGGATTACCTAAGAATTTCCCCAAGAAAGCAACCCACTGCAACCCCAGTATAGAAAAAATAATTGGAGATTCTTTTGATCATCTTTGGTGCCTAGTTAACAAATACACTTGTATACAAGGAGAATTATTCCAAACTTTGGAGTGTAACCTAAGTGTATCTCTTGCTTTTTCTTTCAAATACGAAGCACAATCGGCTTGCATCACCATGCAAAGCTTTGACACTGCTCCAACCCTCAACATCTCTAGAACAACCTCATTTGATGCTGAATGCCTAGCAATCACCAAAAATATATTAAGTGCTCGGTCATCTGTTGCTGGAGAAACCCTCAAAATCCTTTTTGAAATCATTGCTATCCCTGCTGCATGCAACAGAAACTGTTCTCTTCCATCAGCACAAGAACATAGTTGTGCCAAAAGGTTAAATATGAGCTCTGTTAGATTCTTCTCCGGTTTTTCAAGCTCAATCTCTATGAGTTCTTTGACTGCACCTGCTTCCACTATCCTTGTTCTGTTTCTACCCAAAGGGCACGTTTTTATAAGAACATGCAAAGCAGATTTAATAGCTTGTTGAGAGAGTAGTGCTCTCTTTCGCAACACTCTCATGATTTCTCTGAAGAATTCAAGGTTTAAACTCCCTAATGGGGTTGAATCAGCAACTTCAATTGTCAATTTCAAAAGGGTCAGTGCTTCATTCACCATCTTGAAGTTGTGATCCATGTGAAGTTGCAAAATCCAAGTCAACGAATTGATGAAGTCTAAATTTTTACCAACTAGATGTTTCATGTTGTTGACCATGGTTGGAATGTTCCAAAGAAGATGAACAATTCTCAAAGCTTCTTCTGGGCAATTGTTTTTCCCTTCCTTGAAATTCTTGTTAATCAACATAACCATAGCTTTTGCTACTCCTTCTTCCGCCATACATGTTCTGTTCCTCTCGCTCTCTGTAGCCAGGGCAAGCATCTTCTCCAACACCGTTTGTGAGCATTGAGGAACATCAAGATCTCTTACAAGCTTCTGAACATGGATCTTGTCAAGAGGGGTTTTTGGGGTTGGAATTCGATCGACACCGTTGGATGCATTTGATGAACACCATGCTTGGATTAACCTTCGTAACGTGTGGTTGGGTGTCAAGTACTCTGAGCTTCTTGGCAATGGTTGCTTTGTAACTGGGCACACACAAACTTTGGTTTTCAACAACCATTGCTCGATGCTTTCTCTTTCGTATGTTATGCCTGTTACTGCAGTCACAGGGTCCTTCATAATCTGAAGCGAAATGGGACAAACAAAATATTGAGGAATTTCGATTTCGGCCATTGGATCAGAAAACATAGAACAAATGATAAGTTTTTGGTGATGTTTGGTGAATAGGAAAAAAGATGAATAAAAAGGAATTGCTTCTTTTGGTAAGAAAATGCGGGTTTATAAATATTAAGGTTTGAAAGATTATATATACATATAATATAATACAATTCTAGATAAAGTCATAATGGTGTTAAAAACTCATTATTTCATTTATTTAATTCTTTGATTTTACCAGTCATAGATGCTTAGTATTCGTATCTGTAATTGCGGTGTTGGGTGCATGGTCAAACCTTGTAACAAGGGCTTGAAGTACATTATTGCGGCCTTTGAATTTTAGATGCATCAATGAATTTTCCACTTAGTGCATCATGCGCTGCCACGTTGCATGGTTTTAGTGGCCATTTATTTTCGTGATGTCTAGTAATACTGCGGCTTTTGGGTTATTGTGTTTGAAATCACCAAAGGAGAGAAACTTTCCGAATTTGGGGGTGGTGACGAGTTGGACAGAGGAGGCTAAAGAATTAACTAAGTTTTCAATTTGATTATGCATGCAATGAACATGTTTTTCCTTTCGAAAAAAGAAAAAAAATTAAAGATGAGACGTTTCCACTGCTTTTTTATATTTTTGACCCAACCGGAAGCGTACATCACAATATGTAGAGTGGGCCATTATAAGTTTAAACTAGGGGTGGTATTAAACTATAGATTTTATAAGAGTTATGGTGTAGAAAAAGTGATTATGTAATGTTATAGAGATTCGTTTTGCGTGTCGTAATTTTTTTTTTCTTTTTTCTTCAAAAAATATGAATCCCACAAAATGTTATATGTATAGAAAAATTTGTTATGTCATGTTAAATAACAAATTCAAACCCCTTAAACTATTTATGGTAATAAGTGTTGTGACCCCCGCCACACGAAAGGTTGAAACATATGTCGTATAAATGTATTATATTCGAATTGAATGATTTTATATTTATGTAACTTCAACAGGACATAAACCCGAACCATCAAATACGCATTGTGACAATGATTTAAACTCTATATGAGTTTGAATTCAACCTGAGTATGACAATGAGGACTAAATGGCGGTTTTGCGAAACAGAATTACCAAATGGGCAAAGTTCATCGGTGATGTATATAATTATATGGGTTTCAATATTTCAGAAACAAATTTCTCATGTTATAGATATATTTTGTGAAATTCATTTTTTTTTTTTAAATTATACAAAACTCGAAAAGTTATTGGTAGGAAGAAAACAATTCTCTTATGATATGATAAAATATTTTTTCTAATTATATTAATATAATATTATACGCAAATTTCAGCCAAGCAATGCATCTAGCCAAAGAGCACAGGTTTAGAAAAGTCGCATAGACACATCATACGCGTCTACATCAGGTGGGTTTCGTAAGTGGGGCTTGTCAAACACCCCTTGTATAAAAAAATGTATTATTGTTTGGATGAACTTTTTTTTAGGTAAAAGTTATTTTTTTAGAAAAAAAAAAGGTACTTCTATTAAAAAATTTATTTGGATGTCTACTTAAAAAAAATGAAATCACAAAAAAGTCAAAATCTGCTTCTTTTTTTTTTTTTTTTTTAAGCTACAAATTATAACTTCTAAAAAACAGATATCAAAAATCAAATATTTTTTTTAAAATCTAAATAGATTTGATTTGTATAAAAAGTACTTCTAAAATAAGTAAGGTATAAAAGTAACCTTTTTAATAAGACAATCCAAACGGGCTCTTAGTCAGATTTGTTAGCCTTCAAGTTTTTGTTAGGGTAATTAATTAAGGGTAAAGAATTTCTTCGGTCAATGAAAATAAGTTATCTACGGTGAATCCAAAATGACGTTGTTTTGAAGCGAAAATCAAGGTATTTTTGTAGTTCTAATATATTGTTAGATTATATTAGTCTTTGCCATTATAATTTTTTATTCTTATTACTCTAAAATAATGTCATTTTGAGTTCATTGTAGATAATTTTATTTTCAGTGACTGAATAAATATTTTTTCCTTAACTAAATACCAATTATTAACTTATTGCCTAATTCATGGACAAAACTTTCGTGCATCAAATGTATCTAATTGGGTACATCTCTTTTTCAAAAGGAAAAAAAAATTCGATGTGGCAAAAATAAAAAATTCAAAAATGATAAAAAAAAATTGCAAAATGTGCAAAAAAAAAATACCCAATTGGATATATCTGATACACCAAAATTTTGTTCTAATTCATGTATAACAATTCAAAATTATTTCATTTGACACGATACTTTCTTGATAATAAGCCAAAAGTACTCCTCTCATAGACAAATGGTGATCAAAAGTATTTCTTTTGCCAAGGTACATCCCTATAAACAAACTTAGAATAATGTTACAGGGTAAAATATTCCTCCGTGTTTTAGATACTCTATAAAAATATATCAATAAACAATTATGCAAAAGCCTGCATTATATAAAGCACCTAAAGGATATTTATAACTCAAAAAAAAAAAACCTAGATAGATCTTAACTAAATAACAATTTTTAATTTAATATTAATTTCTTAAAATATGAAATCCTGATCAAATAAGGAATCTTGATAATATTTTTCTTAAAAAAATATTTTCCTAAAATTCCTAAATAACACAATAGTCCATGAATTTATCTTCATCATTCCCCCTCTCCAGAAGAACTCTCCTATGGAGTCCTATGGACTATGGAGAGTTAAATATATTATGCTCGTCCAAAGAGTTTTTGCAAGAAAAATAATATTATATTTTCTCATCTCTAATTTTGTGAAGTTTGTGACTGACACAAAAATCGAGGAAAAAGTCATTAAAATTGGTCTAGTTGTGAGGTGTTTGAGTAGTCTACATGAGGTCATAGATTCAATCATGGGTGCCACTGTTGTATCCAAAAAAAATCGAGGTGACAAATGAAACACTGGAACGAGACCGAAATTCATTACAGTGAACAAAATGCGACGAGTGGAATCAAAATTAGGCTTTGTATCAAATTTACTTTAAGAGAATCTAAAGGGGAGTTTGGTAAGGGGATTTTTTTTAGATTCTCAAGAAACTGACATTGGAAATTTTATTTACCCACGTTTAGTATAAGGATTGTGAAAATTTTTCTTGTAAAATAATATTCCCACGATTTATTTTTGTGAAGCAAAATCTCATTAAAAAAACCACAGGGTGGGTGGTATTCTTGGATTTCTACCCGGTGGAAAAATTTCCAAAACTTTTTTGGAAAAAAATATCATGTCTTCAAACGCTTTAGCCGTGATAGTTTTCTTTGTGGATATGTGGGTTTCGACAATACCTGGGGTTCTTCCCAGCCAACAACGCAATGCACCATTGAAAGGGAAAACAACGGAATAACAGTAAAGAAAAAAAAGAGAGAAAGGTTTACGACACTGTGTTGGATTCTCACTGGCTCAATTGCTGCGGAATTTTGAAGCAATTGCTAATTCGTAATGAAATTATTCTATTTGTTTGATTTTCTTCTTCTCTCTCTCTTTTATTTAATTCTTTTCTTATGCAATTCTTCTTCTTCAGTAATGAAATGATATTGGGTGGGCTTTGAGATTTGTTGGCACAAAAGGGAAATTGTATGTGAGTTATTTGCTGGTGGTGAAATGGTTCTTTGCCTTGCTTATTGCCATTTGTACGTTCTTTAATTTTTTAAGATAATGGAATCATATTTACCAGGTAATGAAACACAAAATGCAGGTTTGGGGGTTTCGACGATAATGTAAAAAGTTTAATTTAATTTTAAATTGGAAAAGTTCTGAATGAAAATGATGAGTAAGGTTAGTTTTGTACCCCACATTGCTAGCAATGTTTGACAATTAACCGAACATAAAATCAAAAAACTTAAGCCAACATTCCTGTAAATATTTTGTGTTACAAATCAATAAGTAACTCAGCAGTAGCACAATTGGAGTAGATGAAGTCATGCAAACGTAGTTACTATCTCGTTTAATATTAGTTGGTTAGTTAGTCTTATTTGTTAGAAGACATGACACGTGTAACATAATCTCTAGTTAGTTAGAACTACTTGCATATGTAGCAATAACACTAATAGAATAGAATTTATTTTCTCTGCAATATTTTTCAATCAATGAGAATTCAATTTTGTTCTGTTTCTTTTCTTCTCTATGTTCTTGTTGCTCACTGATATGGAGCTCTCATAAGATGAAGTTACCTTTGTAAGATGGTATCAAAGCTTCATTAGGCTCTGGCAACCAAGTTTTCCTTGCAATCATTGAATCTTTAAGGTTCGTTTATATCTTCTTTCTCCCATTTTTCTTTTATCCATTGGCTAATCCTCTTCTAGATTTCCATACAAATCCTAGCAATCTTTTCTTTCTATATTCCTATGAAAGTCTATCCCTGGTAGTTGTCACACCACCTCTGGATCCAACAAATTATCATTCTTGGACTATATCTATGAGCATGGCCCTTTTATCCAAGAACAAGCTTGGATTTATCGATGGGACGATTGAAAAACTAGCAAATGATGATCCCATGTTTCAAGCATGGTAACGCTGTAACACTATTTTTCTTTCATGGATTCATCGCTCAATCAGCAGTTCTATAGCAAAATCCATTTTTTGGATTAATCAAGCAAGTGATGCTTGGGCTGATCTCAAAACTCGATTCTCACATTCAAACATTTTTCGAATTTCTAATCTTTAGGAACAGATGTACCAGATGCAGCAAGGTGAGCGATCTATTACCGATTATTTTACTGGTATGAAAATTATTTGGGATAAGCTGGACAATTTAAAACTATTGCCAACATGTAGTTGTGCAATACAGTGTTCTTGTAATGGCTATTCTGTAATGCACGAGTATCGATAACATGATCGAACAATGAGATTTCTTAAAGGTCTCACTGATCAGTATGCACATGTGAATCTCAAGTGGTGATGATTCATCCAATGCCAAATATCAATAGAATCTTTTCACTAATTGTTCAGCAAGAAAGACAAATCCAATGTGAATCTAGTCTAAGCCAGCTAGGAG